CATCGCAACAGAGAGGGAGAGAAGACAAATTAGACCATCGTAGAGGTATGAAAATCTAGTTACATATTTCTTAGCAGTTGCAGAGACATTTACTTTATAGGAACCTGAAAGTTATAGTGAAACTATTTCTAGTTTAGATGCATATCAATGGATTAATGCTGTGGGTTAAGAAATTGAGTCACTTCATAAGAATCAGACTTGAGAACTCATGTCATTGCCAAAAGAACAAAAGGTAATAGGCTGTAAATGGGTTTTCAAGAAGAATAAAGGCATTCCAAGGGTAGAAGTGCCTCGACTCAACGAGAAGAGATCGACTTTAATGAAGTGTTCTCTCCAGTTGTGAAACACAGTCCCATCAAAGTCTTACTTGCCATTGTTGCTCTTCATGCTTTAGAGTTGAAACAGTTAGATGTAAAAACTGTATTTTTACATGGTGAATTGAAGGAGCATATCTATATGAGTCAGCTCGAGGGATTTATCATTTCAAGTATGGAAAAATATGTTTTTTTACTTAAGAAATATTTGTATGGTTTGAAACAGTCGCTTAAACAATGATATATTCATGGTAAAGAATGGCTTCATTCGTAGTGTCTATGAGAGTTGTGTGTATCACAAGAGACTTTTAGATGATTATGCTATTTATTTTTTATTGTATATAGATGACATGTTTATTGCTGGTAAAAGCATATCACAGATGGATACTCTAAAAATACAGTTATGTGAAGAGTTTGAGATGAAAGATTTGGGTATTGCAAGGAAGATATCAGAAATGGATATTACTCGGGATAAAAGTGCTGGAAAATTTTTCTTATCTCAACGATCATATGTTGAGAAAATACTACAATGCTTCAATATGATTTGTACTCATCTTGATATTTCACATGCAGTTAGTGTAGATACATGGCGTATCTTGGGAAACAATATTGGCAAATAGTGAAATGGATTCTAAGGTACTTAAAAGGTATAGTAGATATGGGTATGATGTTTGACAAAGCCAAGATAAGTGACTTAGTTTTTTACTATGTGGATCCAGACTTTATAGGGGATTTGGATAAAAAAAAATCTTTGACACGTTATCTGTTTACTCTATCTGAAAATGTTATCAATTAGAAGACAACATTGTAAGCTACAGTAGCTTTATCTACCACAGAGGCTAAATATATGGCTTTAACAGGAGCAATAAAAGAGGTTATTTGGCTACAGGATTTGGTGAGTGATCTTAGGTTAATACAAAAAAAGTTGACAATGTTTTGTGACAACCAAAGTGTCATACATCTCACTAAAAACTAGATGTACTATGAACAAACAATTATATTGATGTTAGATATCACTTAATTTGGGACATTATATCACAGGGTATCATAGTTGTGCAGAAGGTATCTACACAAGAGAATCCTGCGGATATGATAACCAAGGCAATCCCAGTTAGCAAGTTTAAACAATACCTAGACTTGACTAAAGTATGTAATACTCACTAGTACCCTCGAATGGGTATCATGGCAAAACAGAATGATAAGAATGTCATTTCTTTTGATTTTAAAGAGAATTCAAGCAAAGATGAAGATTTGTTGATATGACTTAAATTTTAATGATTTTAATCATGAGAATATTTTTGTAATTATCCTAGGGATTAATATTATGTGTATTCTGGAGCCATAAAAAAATTTTAGAAGCCTCTCAATATGCAGGTTTGCTAACTTATGAGTGATGTACTCTCTTTTGATCATAGTGGAATATTTTTTTGCTGGTATTGTCTATGGATATATGTATACTGTCGAACCACGTAAAATCCTATCTTATTATTTTTTTTTTTTCTTTTACTTTGTTTATGATTATGCATGCTTTACGGATTAATTTTTCTAACATAATGTTATGCCATGTATTAAATTCCCATTAATAATTAATTGAAAATAGATGGTTGAGAGATACTGAAAGATTAATTGAATCATTTTTTAAGAAAATGCCATATTATTTCGTATCTGTATTAGGAATTTCCTTTTCACTCTATTAAATGCTTTTTTCATGTTGCCTTTAAGCTAGCCACCCGACACACCTTTTTTCTTCTTTATGGAGTGGAAGATTTCATGTCTAATTTTAGTGCTCTTGTGAAGAAGTGATGTAGCTTTAAAAATGGGCAGCCCTACAAAGTACTCAAGAAGAAAGAGAGAATAGAAAACATAATTAAAATAGTTCATATTTACCATGAAATGATTATTATCCCTTTTTCATAGAAATCTCTAATTGACAGTGATTGATGTATTGTAGAAAACTAAAGAGGAATGTTAAAAGAAGAAAAAAAGAGCATAATGTTGATCCTAATAAGCTTAAAAAACCTGCATCCTTCTTCTTTTTGTTCCAGTACGAGTGGAAGCGAGATAAATAAATGCCAGAAAATGAAGGTATGAAACCTCGGGAGTAGAGTGTATAACATTTTTTTGTTGATGTAGTAAAAAAATAAAGAAAACTTTGTAGGAGGAGCGACCAGGAATAAATAATTCACCCCTTAATGCAATGATTCTAGTAAAATGGAAGGTATAATATTATTGTTTGACAACTCTTGGTGTCCATGTTTTAATTAGTGGAATGCGAGGAGTGAAAAAAAGAGGAGGATGTAGATTTTTTAGGCTTGTTTGAATCAACATTCTGCTCCATTTTCTTTTTCTTACATTCTTATTTAGTTTTCTGCAATATGTCATTTATTGTCAGTCAAATATTTCTACAAAAAAATGTATAAGAATCACTTCATGGTAAATGTGAACTATCTTAATTATGTTTTATGTTATCTCTTTCTCTTAAGAATTGCCTGACTTTTTGTCGCTAAAGTTTCATCATTTCTTCCTCCTCCTTCTTCAAGTTTTTTATCTCTTCATCCTTCAGTTACTTATAGGTGTCCATCTCCAGTAAATATTTCTCTTTGTTTTTTTACAAAACATAATCAAACATATGGCATGTTGAAATGAAAATGAATAACACGTTTGGTTAGGAAGTGAACCTCTTCATAGGACTGTTTTTGTTGTTCGCTCATGTTTTTTATTCTTCACTAGTAATTTTTACTGTCAGTAAATAATTCTAACCAACCACAATTTAAAAAGAAAATATTATAACTTAAAAAATTCATTAAGAGAGACTCAATTACCTTTAAAATACTCTTGTTTTTAGCAATTAGAGTAATCATTCTTTGGTTAGAGAACAACAGATAGGCTTATTCAGGCTACTTTAGTTTCAGTGGATCCTTCTCTTCCCTATAAATCAAGCAATGAGAAAAAATCAGCTAAAAATTTCTTTTTTCTTGGGCAAACATGAAAAAGAGAGAGAAAGAAGCCATAATTTGGAACATGTTTACTTTGTTTTCTTCTTATTCTCTTTCTTCTTTTGTTACACTTGCTTATATTTTACTTACATAAGATATTCATGGAGTAAATAATATATGGGCATAAAAGGGATACAATTTTTTTAAATCTTTTTTTTTTGTAATGCATGGAGTTGATTATTATATTTTTCACAGCATTTTATGTATATAACATAATTTTTATTATTATATAAAATAATATAAATATTATTTTTATGAATTTAAATTATATAAAAATAACTAAATTTTTAATAAAAATATTAAAAAATTATCATATTTTAGTTTTTGATATAAAAATTTACAAGATAAATGATGTCGGAAAAAGAAAAGTGGTTGAGAGTTTATACAATGTGTAATTCTAAAGTTTCTAACAAGTAAAAATTAATCGTATTAAAACATTATTATAGTCTCACTTTATTTTTTAAAAAAAAACTAATAGATTTAATTATTATATATATTATCATAATTTAGATTTCCAATTTTCCTCATATATATAAGTAGTAAATTGATTTTTGTATTATTTGTCAATATTTAAATTCATCTTATATGATTTTTTGCAAGTGTTACGCCATATCAAGTTAAACATGTGCGTGCCTATTTTTTATTGGCTAAAAATTTTATGTCAGATTTAAAGTAATATGTAAGTTGTAAAAATATTTTAATTTGTAAATTATTTTTAATATAAGAAATAATAAAACATTAAATACTAAAAACATAAAATTAAAAGTTTCCTCTGTCCATCATAGCTGCTACTAAACCAGGAACAACTCCCGCCAGTTTCTACTTCCTCACTTCCTCTTCCATCTCGTCAGCCCTCGATCACAAGACTTTGCTGGGCCCGTCCACTGTATTCTTGGCAACCGTATAAGAACAGATGATGATGCTGGCTCCAAAGACGACAACAGTGTCACTGTAAGACCCCCCATGGACTCCTTGGCTACCGTCAAAGGTTTCTGGGCGTTAACGGCCAGACCTGCCTTCGGGCTGGTGTGGAGCATTGTCGAGGCTGCTCCTCCACCTCAGATGGTAATGCAGCCGGAGCCGTGTTGCAAAAGCCGGCTTTGTTCGTTCAGCGACAGAAGCATTCGTCGGGAGCACTGTCATCCACCACCTGCATAAAGATCCCTGACAAGATGACGGAAGTTTTTTTTTTTTTTTTTTTAATTTAATGCCTTTAACATTTATTTTTTTGTATTCTGTTATATAAAATATATATATATATAAGATATCGGAATATTCGACATAGAAAATTATTAAACTGAAGTAAATTACGTATCCAAATTGATATTACATTAGCGAAATTAATATGCATTAAAAGTCAAGAAATAAAATATATAAAAATATATATATTTAAAATAGAAGAAATAAATATTAAAAAAATAAAATATTTAGAAATATTATATTATAAATACTAATTTAATAGGTTAAATAATTGATGCAAAATTTAATTTATTAATAAAATTAAATTATACCCGTTAAATTAAAAAATTCAAAATAAATTTTGCTTCTTATTCTGATACCATCCAACAATAAATTGGAGAAATTTTGAAGAAAAGAAACCCTAGATTAGAAAAAATAAATTCAACTCTTTTTCTTTTTTGGGAAAAACATAAAACGAGAAAAGGTGTAAACTTTGAAAACCAGAGGTCTAAGATTAGGCAGGAGACTGTACTGTACTTTGTCAACTTTTGTTAAAGAGAAAAGCCCACCAAACCCTCCATCCAACTCGGTTTAGATTAAAACTCGGCCTCCTCTCTATATCTCATCAAAGTAAGAACCTTCTACACACATCTTGCAAGTCTGCTCAGGTTAGTTCAGAATGTATATCTATCTTCAATAATTTTCTTCTTTTTCGCCCCCACAGATCTTCTTATTTCATCATTACATTACCCATATCGTTTATCTACTCTCAGGTTAATGTTCATACCTGCGAATTTTGTTCATCTGTCTTCTTTTTTTCCTTTTTTTTTTTGGTTCTTTAACTGCTTTTAATTTGGATTCTTATTTGCTTGCTTGTTCAATTTATGTTCATGCCCTTGATCCCTGTGTCATTTCTCAATTGGATGTTCTGTTTTTCCCCCCCTCGGTACCTTTTACAAAATCTTGTCTTTACGAGTTTAATCGAGTATCCTTTTCATGCCCAGATAATATCTAATCTGAGATTATAGCTTTATTTGTCATCTTTGTGCAAATTCGCAACCATTTTCTTTGCTTGCTTTCACTGGGTCTATGTAGATATTGTTGATTTTGATTTCAGTTGGTTTCATACTGTATGTTTGTTCATTGTTTCATTTTGAGAAGGACCTTGATTTTGGGAAACCAGCAAGAGATAATTATTCATAATGGTGGAGATTGTTGGGCCAAGGATGTATAGTTGCTGTAATTGCAGGAACAATGTTGCTCTTCATGATGATGTCATTTCTAAATCATTTCAGGTATTGGGTTTTCCCTACATTTACTCTATTAATCATGCTTAAATTTTAAATTAATCCTTGTTAGTTCAATTAATTAGTTGATGGCATCAACTCTTCAATATATAATCACTGTTAATTCCATGTTTTTGTTCGGTAGAAACTCAACTCAATCTGGTTTTTGTAATCCAAGTTGTGAAATTAGGCTCAAGGGGGAGGACAGTATTCTATATTCCATCACAGTTTGTCTTCCTTGATCATCTGGGTTTGATTTCTGATAATGCCAAACGTATTTCATGTATTTTCATTTGTTAATTTTGACAATAGGGAAGAAACGGCCGGGCCTTTTTGTTCTCTCATGCAATGAACATTATGGTAGGAGCTAAGGAGAATCGGCAGCTCATGACAGGTCTTCATACAGTTGCTGATGTATACTGCAGTGATTGCCGTCAGGTGTTAGGTTGGAAGTATGAACGGGCTTATGAGGATACACAAAAGTATAAGGAAGGAAAATTCATACTTGAGAAATCAAAAATTGTCAAGGAAAATTGGTAGCACACAAGAAGATTTTCAATCTCATATCAGATATCTCCCTTGTATGTAAGTGTACTGATCCTTTTTTATCATGTTCTATGTGCACAGAATTTCCCCAATTGAAAATCTTCGCTTAATGTTCCTCCTTTTTTCCAATCTTTGTTTGTTATGCTTGTTGTTGATATTACATTGGAGATTATTGATTTTAGGAATAATTATTGCAATCTTCTTGTAATGTCTATCTTGAATTTTCTTTTTCTTTTTTGGTATTATAAAAGCTACTGATATATTCTTCTAAAAAAAGAAAAGAGATAAAGAGATCACGGCTCTTCCGTGATAAACGAGGTTAAAGTTGGAAAGAAGAGATCAGATATTTAATACAAGTGGTGTTTGTTTGTTGCACAGTAGAGTTGTTCTTGAAATGATATAGGATGTATCTATTCTTTAAAGTCATCTGGCCTGCTAAATTCCATGCTTTTCTGTTCACTGAAAAAATTCTGTGTCATGTCTTCCTTCTGTAATTGGAAGAAAGATCAAACATTAACCATGTATGATATCTATATTAGTTTATATACATGTTGGACAGTTCTTAATACCATATGGTTTTCAGTAAGAATCTAAGGTGGTACTAGAGCTAATTCCACTTCATAGGTTTGTCTTACTTAATATTCTGCCAATAGTTTACCTTGGACAACTTTCTCTAATGTTTTAATGATAAAAATATCATACCGCATTGACATGTACCCGTTACACAATAATTTCTCCGAGTTACACAAAATAGCTTCTTTGTTCGGACCAAACTGACTTCCATTATTTATCACTGCTATCCTACTTTGCACCTTTGCTACCAGTCTTTGCAAATTTTCCCATTCAAATCTTCACTATCACTCTCTTATCATCATATTTTATTTATTTGAAGATATAGACTGAATTTTTTGTGGATGAATTGAACTTTTTGTTTCTGGGTATCTACTCGGCTGTAGGCATGAACTGTTCTTTTCCTCTTCTGATTTTTTTTTCTCAAGGTAATTGAAATTGGTTCTTTTACACCTTATAAACAATTAGTCAATTTGTTTCATAATTAGATTTCTTTTCTCACTTATTGAAGGTGAAATTACCAAAACATTATCTACATCAGACATAAAACTATAGCATTCAAATTTGTCTCATTCGTATTGTATTCGCACTATATAAAATTGAAATTCGAATTTAATATAACAACTTACTTTATTATTAAATGATAACATTTGGTTCAAATGTGTAAATTTGATACAATGTAAAAAAAAATTATTGCGGTTAATTATGAAAAAAGAATGATTAATATGAAACAAATATAAAAATACATGGAATTATAAACAGATTGAATCTATATAGCAGCTTCACTCTTAACGGTAGGGGAAAAAGATCAAAATGAATGTTGAAATGAAAACCAGAAAACTAAAACACACCTCTCAAACTAAAAAAGCCCTACTGCTCAAAATGACTCCTTCAATGAAGTCTTCAGGCGAACAAAATGAGAACCAACAAAAAAAAAAAAGCAAAATAGCATACAAAAAGCAAACTACTCATGCTGAAAACCTCATTCTAGGATTTATTCTTCGTTGTCCATCTCCTCTTGGCATTTTCAATTGCTTCTTCCCTCATTCTCACCAGTTCTTGAAAACACTGGTGATACTGAGCATCAATGGCATCAAGCTCCAACTTCAGCTCATCGTATTGATCTTTGTCTGCCAGGGAAAGAGAGCAGATACTTGATAAGCTCAAATCTTTTGACATCCCAGAGCATGAGTCAATAAAAGATATTTCGGAGTTCTTTGAGGATTCCGTAAACAATCCGGATTCAACAATGTTGATATCATCTCTCCTCTGTTCATGCCACTCATTGTGATCATAAACCCCAAAATCTGAGCTGAAATCATTTGTGCCAGAGCACAAGTGCAACTTATCATAACTGTGATCATGGTATTCCATAACCTTGGTGTTGATGGTATCAACAGTGACATCAAATTCAGCAGATATATCTGAATTTGCAGCAGATCTGTTAGTTTCTTGATTTTTCATAATGTCCACGTGTGGGAGCACATGCTGCCTGCTGACCACATTTTGAGAAAATTTCCCCGATTCATAAGAACTATTTGGTTGCCTTGAAGTACTTCCAAATGAAGAGTTGCAACCTGGCACAAGCTTCACTATTAAGTCATCGATTAACTCAGCTATGAAAGTCACATCTTCGTGTGACAAATCAAGTTGCTCAACCATCTCCTCAGCTATTGACACTGCAGTATCTGAATCTAGATAAAAAGTAAAATGGACATTCCTTGCCTGACCTGTAGGAGAAACAACTCCAATTATAGATCATGCATCAATAAATGCAAAAAGACTTGAATTTTCATATTGCAGATTTACTTACCGCAACGATCAGCAATCCGCAAGGTAAAGGAAATTGTATCACCATCATCCCTTTCCCCTCTTAGCCTGAACTCATTGCTTGCAGTGGACCTCTGACATTCATGAGTTGGAAACAGATTACTCACTTCGTCACTTTTCACACTGGAGCTAACTGAAAGCTTCTTCAAGTTAGGATCTATGTCCATAAGAAGAGGTTCTGACCCTGGCAAATTTACTGATTTGGATATGAGACTGGGTAACCGCACAGAAGAAGAAGGCTCTTTTGGAATTTCAGTTGCAAGGAATGGATCCTTCAAGAGTTCTATAGCAGGCAATCTCATTGATGCTGGAACAAGACATTTCTCTATAAATTGTTTAACTTCGGGATCCTTCACTTTGCCAAGGGATAGAGGCTTTATACCCTGCAGTGGAGGATCTTGGTCTATACTGAAATTGCTACATGTAAGAGAAAGATGAAGGATAAGACAAATTGGAGGATGTCATAAACTTACAGATGTAACCTTCTTATATATCTGTGCAGGGTTTTTGCATTCGCTGTACGGATATTCAGAAGTAACCATCTCTAACATGCACATCCCGAAAGAATAGATGTCAACAAGTTCATTGTATTCCTCGTCATAAAGTTCAGGAGCCATGAATTCAGGAGTACCTACACAATAATGTAAGATCTCAAGTTTTAATATGATATTTAATTAAAGATCAACATTTGAGAATTTGATGATATTACCAATAACACTACGGGCAGTAGGCTGCTGCATGACAATTGCCAATCCAAGATCTCCAATTTTGACCTCTCCATTATTTCCATTAACAAATATATTGTCGCATTTTAAATCTCTGTGAATAATAGCAGGATTGTGACAGTGCAGATACTGTAATCCTTTAAGTATCTGCCTTGCCCAGTTCTTGATAGCTTTCATATCCACGTTCTTATGCTTCTTCCGATAACTAAATGCCAGCAAAATAATGAAATAGAACAAAAAATATAGAAGCTGAGCTCTTCAACTGGTGATGGAAAACAAGTAAAGAGATTAACTATAATGAATGCACGAAAGGAACTATTTAAACTTACTGCCTCAAACTCCCAGAAGTGAATAACTCTGTTATCATGTTGATAGTCTTGTTCCTATGATCTACCCATGAGTAATAAAACTTGATAATGTTCTCATGCTTCAATGACTTTAGCAGATGAACCTCTGAGTATAACCTTTCAAGTTGATTAGAGGACTGCATTACATCTTCAACATTTACTTGGTTCCAAGCAACTTCTATTCCATCAACTTCATCAAATGCCTTGTATCTGAAAGTAACATGAACGATATCCAATGCAGGGAAACTTAAAAGTCAATTTTTTTTCCCTTCTCTTTGATTATCCTCTATTTGAATCATGAACAATTAAAATGCAAATGAGAAAACAAAAGAAGTGAAGTCTTGGAACCATACACAGTCTTGAATGCTCCTCTCCCCAAGATTTCATCATACTGAAGGAAGAACAGAAAAAAAGAAAGAAATAAAGATCGTAATACTACTAATCCAATGGAGAAAATAAGTCACCCCAATAACATGTTGACTCAAATAAAGCAACTAAAATGAGGGATGAAAAGACATAACTAGAAGCCACTTCAGACAAACAGTAAAAAATTCACTGGAAGTTCACAATACCTTAATCCAAAATTAACAGGTTCATTCTAAACAATAAGCAGCAGTAATAACGAGAAATTGTCTTCATGATATAAGAAACAATCTTCAAGTTAATTTTTTTATTTCAGTCATGTGAAGAAAAAAGAAAAAACAACTCTCTAAAGCTATGTACACGAATCAATGTTAGAAAAAAAGACTAATAAAAACAAAGAAAGATCATAAAACAGTACAATCGTTGTCCTTAATGAAAGATTTTCACCGGAAGCACAGTGCTCTATTTCGTAGTTGAGAAAGTAAAACTATCAAGTACAAAGAAAATGCACAATTGTTATTTATCAACAGTCAAATTAACCCCATAAGAATGCCGCTAAGTTGCTGAAAATTCTTTCTGACGTGGAATTAAAACATCATTAACTCAACAAAGGAAAAAAAAGAAGATTTAATTCTTTCGAAGCTTTTCATATTCGCCAAACAAAAAATAAATGCAGCAAGAGAAATAAAAACAAACAGAAAATCCATACCCGGATATATCGACCAGTCGGATCTTTCTCCGCAAATCCAGCACTCTCCGCTTCCCACAATAAACCTGAACCCGTATTCATATCGAAAAAAACACCGAAAAAAAAAAGAGAAATTCTCGACAAAATTGGAAACACGAAGACAACGCAGGGTCAGAACAGTTCAATATGAATTCTGATCGAATTGGAAACAGACATGACGACTTGTTCAGAGAATGCCTCGCGAGCAGCGCAATAGGAATCGATCGCTGATCTAAATCGTAATCTGCATTTAACAACTTTCACACCCATCTTCGGTTTCCTGGATTTCAATTTAGCTCTCAAATTCCACCAGTAATTTGAATTCCCCGTACTCATACCACTTTCTTCGATATAATTGGCAACACTTTCATCGTTTCGATCTCCAGAAACTGAATATTTGCTATAAGGTCGTCGCGTAATTGCAGAATTACAAAAACCCTAACAGATGCAAATACGGTGACAGTGGCACATATAATAGCATATATAGGAGAAGGGAATCGGGAGAGAAGAATGCAATAAGAATAGAAGTAGGAGTAGTATTGTACAAGTGAGAGGCAGTGTAGAAAACAATCACTGGGACACAGCTGCGGTAAAGAGATGCGCGTGAGTTATGAGTTATGAGTTACGAGTTAGGCGCCAGAGATGGAGGGAACTACGACTAAAAGGCGATTAAATGCATACGCGCAGGAGAAAGAGCGTGGTACACGTGGCCCAAAAAATAATTAAATATTTGCAGGGTTCCAAACAAGTGGGATTTCTAAAAAAAATAGAAAATATTAAAAATCCGAATTAAATTATATAAATTTTAAATTTTAAGAATTAATTTAATTTTTTAAAAAAACAAAGAGTGAAACGAACATTACCAATTCGATAGTCTCAGTGACAGCATGTAACGGTAATCATCTTATTTTGCATAAATCCTTCTTATACAAGGATTATATAAATATATACATACATACACCCCCATTCTATATGAACTTCCGCTATATATATAATCCTTCCTCCCAGTTCACCACTGCAAAATTCGAACACCTTGTGTTAAAGCTTACCTTACTTCGCAAACGAGACAACCAGAAGACAGTTCGCTATTCCTTCCTCCCAACCCTCAAATTTCTCTACCATCAATCCAAAAAGCCCTAAATTTCTCCTCCCTAATTTTTTCACGCTGCTATAATGGTTGATGTAGCCGATAAATTGGAGTATTTTCAGCCATCACTGGCCTTGAGACCTCGATTTGTGCACCGAGATCCTTCAAGCCCATGGATGGGACCTTGAACTTGCGATCTCCTCCTTCACCTCCACAAATCCCCCTCAACAACCTAATAATGCCACAACTACTACCAATCATAACATCGATGCCACCGACACTTCCTCTCCTCTGTCGCCGTCTCCCGAATTACTCAACAGGGAACAACCGCTCGCCGCTGCTACTGCTCCTGCTCCTCCTGGTCTAGCGTGGAAGATAATTACTTTGCCGATTTCGGTTATTTCGGGAAGTCTAGGGTTGATTTCGGGTGCGATTGGGCTCGGACTATGGGCTGCCGGTGGCGTCCTCTCCTATTCTCTCGGTATGATCGGGCTGGGGTCGGGCTCCGGTCGGGGAGGGGAGTCATCTACCAGGTTAGTGTCGGTGTCGGCCGCGGCGTCCGAGGCTATGGACTTCGTGGCTGCGTTTGAGAGGGAGTACGGGAACCTAAGGCCGAATTTTGTGGCTGAAGGTTTCATGGACGCGCTGCAGCGGTCAAGGAACGCCTTCAAGCTGCTGTTCGTGTACTTGCACTCGCCGGATCATCCGGACACGCCCTTGTTCTGTGAGAGGACGCTCTGCAATGAGGCCCTTGCGCCGTTTATCAACGAGAACTTCGTTTCTTGGGGAGGGAGCATCCGTGCTAGTGAGGGGTTTAAGATGAGCAACAGCTTGAAGGCTTCTAGGTTCCCATTTTGTGCTGTGGTTATGCCGGCCACGAATCAGAGGATCGCTCTGCTTCAGCAGGTATGCTAGAAAAATAATGTCTTTTTGTTAATTTGATAACTACCATCGCATCTGTGGTATGCTGGCATGTTTTGATGGGAGGAAGATAACAGCTATCTTGTGTTTGTGGTAGTATACTTCAATGACGATCCCTGTTTTGAGTTTCATAAAAGTCTGTGTTAGAAGAAGCTAGATTGATATTTGAACTAAATGTTAAAGAAGTGTTCAATCACGAAGGGATGTGGCTTATGTCTGGGGAATAAACTAAGAATGAGGAAACCATGGTTTTTGGTTACAAATTGGCTTAACATTCCTATTCTTGTATAGAGTTGTCCGTAATGCAATGTGGAACAACATTCTTAGACGTGTAATATAGGTCTTGAGATAAAATTTTGAGTTTTATTATGGAAGTTTAAAGTAGAAATTATATATTGCAAGTATACCCTTTCTTTATTACAATAGTAATTAAGTCGTGGGTACTTATTTGGAGCAACAAAAAAGTTCTATCTTTAGAAGAATTGGGATTTTCTCCGCAAGTCTGTGGTAATGAGATAGCAGAAAGGAAAAGAAAAAAATAAATAAATAAAGAAGACTAATTATCATGATATTCTCTTGTAGCATTTGTAACTCATATTAATTGGCCTCAACTTGTCAGATCAGGAATTAAAGTTCCGTGGTAATTAAATTTCAGGATGTTAATTTTATTCGTGAACCTGCTACAATAGTTTTTTCTTTGGTAAAGATAAATCAGCTCTCAATAAAAGAATCTTCCGCCCTATTTTGACTTGAGACTTTTGAAATATCGATTTCATTTTAAGTTAATTAAATAAGATTTTGAAGATGTCGTGAAAATTCCACAAAACGAAAATGGCATGATAATTAGACTTCTGTTTTTTTTTTTAAGTATTGAAAATTATATTTATTGGTTGTCTAACAAGGGAAAATGTTGAAAGCATCCTAGTAAAGTTTTTGAAGATTGCATTAGGAGGAGTTAGGGCTGCTGCGAAAAATATTTTTCCTTGTAGGGTGAAAGCATTCTCAAGGATGTCTCATTAGAGGAAACTGAGGAGGACTTTTAGATCTATCGAAGGACACCAATATAGTGGTTGAAGATTAATCTAACAAAGAATTTAGTGATTGAGTGGACATTCTGCATGTCTTTATTTCTTTTTTCCTTTGTTTTTTTAGTCTTTTTTTCTTCTCCTTTCTCTTTGATAGGAGAGCAAGGAATGGTGAGAGGGGGAGTCTTCTTTATGATCGTATTTATTTTCTCATGGCATTTTAGTTGGTAGTTGGATGAAGTAGTTTGGTTATCGTGCTAGATTTAAATTATCATAATGTGATACAAATTATCAACCACTTGCTTGAGGAAAAACATTTTGGCATCACTGGCCTAAAGTTTAGAATTTAATACTTATATTCCATAAAAGAAATTAATATTTATCTGTAGTTGCAGTGCAGGAGCTGCAGCTTTCTTATTCATTTTGCATCATACTGGGGATATTTTTACCTTACTTGCTTGTGGGTTAGTTTTGTGTTGATATGCTTTATGCTGGGGAACTTTTTGAGGGTTAACTGGCTTAAGTTTCTTGAATGGTTGGTGAATACTTTTGAAGTAGGATAAGGTTAAATCGGATGTGAAAATATTCTTGAACTTTTTGTGATTCTGATTACTATATATGAAGTTAGTTTTAGCAAGTTCGTCTCCAGTTATGGATCATAATCTTCATGAGCTCTGGAAATATCTAAATTTATGTTTGGAAGTTCTCTGCTTCTGTTGTTGTCTTCCTTGAATTTAATTTGTTGTACTGTAAGAAGAAGATTAAGATAATTGGAATGATGAATTTTGTTGATTTTTTATTGCTTACCTTCTAGACCAACCTCTTTGCGAATCTAGTCAACATGGGTCACTTGGTTCAATTCGTCTTCTTTGTTGGTTAACTTTGTGCACCTTTAGGTGAATATGAATATCCAAAAATTTGCATTTTTAAGAGATATCTATTTACAAATGCTGCTCTGATGTGATAGAATTGTTTGACAGAAATCCCCTTCTGTCCGGTTGTTGGATAGGTATATGTATGTTAAGAAGTTACTCTTGCTAACTGTCTTCTACTTGTGGTTCCATATGTGCTCTCTCTGCAGGTTGAGGGACCAAATTCCCCTGAGGAGCTTCTTATGATACTACAAAGAGTTCTTGAAGAAAGTGCCCCTGTTCTTGTTGCTGCAAGACTTGATGCAGAAGAAAGAAGGACTAATATGCGATTGAGAGAGGAGCAGGATGCAGCTTACCGAGCAGCACTTGAAGCTGATCAGGTATGGTGTTAATTAGACGGTACATTTTGGTTATGCAACTCAGTTTCTGTTTATTTTTTTGAACACTTCTGTCATTCTTTCCTTAAAAGGCTAGGGAACGTCAAAGGAGGGAAGAGCAAGAGCGTTTAGAAAGGGAAGCCGCAGAAGCTGAGAGGAAATGTAAAGAGGAAGAAGAGGCTCGTGAAAGAGAAGCACGCGAAGCTGCAGAAAGAGAGGCTGCACGAGCTAGACTGCGACAGGAGAAAGCTTTGGCACTTGGTGCTGAACCAGAGAAAGGACCTGATGTTACACAAGTAATTTCCCTCCAAGTTTGATTGACATTTTATTCTTATGCTGCCAAAAGACTTTTTCAAAGTTTACTTTTGATGCCTATTTAGTTTTTCTGCTACCGCATGTTTCTATACAGTGATTATTTAGGTGATTTTTTTTTCAAGTGAATGCAAGGTGTCAGTCTATATGTGTTATTTCCTCAATTCATGTGGCTTTGGTGGGATTTTATGCATGAGGATTTTGTGCAAGTGCATCAAAGTGTCAGCCTTTTTTTCTTTCAGAAATAAAAGTGTCAACCTATTTTCTTCTTTGTCTGTTTCAAATTAAGTCAATGAAACTACGTTCTTTAATAGTAAAAGGAGATCACGACATCTTTGTCTGTTATTGGGTATTTTGATAATACGAATACGTAACTGAAGATATTGAATGTCGGATTTTAGTCAAACATTGTTATGACTTGTATTCTCCCTGAAACAGGTGTTGGTCCGGTTTCCATCTGGAGAACGCAAAGACCGGAGGTTTCACAGCAGTGCAACAATCCAATGTTTGTATGACTATGTTGATTCTTTGGGTTGCTTAGAAGTTGAAAATTACAGCCTAGTATCCAACTTTCCACGGACTGTTTATGGAGCAGATAAGCTCTCTTTATCCTTGAAAGATGCAGGTTTGCATCCTCAGGCTAGCCTTTTTGTGGAGCTGAACTAGCATGAGGAAGCTCAATGCATAGTTATAAGATGCGTAGTCCAATATTCTGCAGCGAGTAGGATATTTTGTTGGGTTTCTCTTTCCTGTTTTAGCTTTAATTAGCAGTGACGCAGAGAGAGCTGCTCCGATAGTGCTCTGAAACGCATATTCAATCAAGCAGAGACATACTTAGAGGTGAAGTGGGACTGGAATAATGAGTTCTTTATATTGATTTGCACATACATGAATGTGAAATATCTTATACAAGCTAAGGTTGCCTTCTAATTATGGATTGTAAGAAGTTATTAAATTCCAGGTGATTGAATGTTGGCAATTCATTTTTTAGCTGAAGAAGTTATATGCTTTTGGTCATGCCTTAATGAATGTATGCAAAAATTTCAATACACTAGTTATGACCTTGTTGATACAGTCTGGGTGATGTCGTGATTGGCTCCTTGCTTGCTTAACTTAAAGAAGAACATAAACAAACACGAACTCAGCTGGTGGTTTCACTACCATCATGTTTTAATATTTCTTAAATTTAAAAATTCAAATTAAATCTAAAGATTATTCTTAATCAAGGATGATATTTTATTTTTATCCAAGTTACTATAGTTTCTCTTTAATAAATTAATGATTTTAATTAATTTATTAAAATTAAGAAAATATTAAGTTATATATTATTTATTTTAATTTACATGTTAAATTTGTAAATTTTTTTATAATTATGTAAGAGGATATAATTGCAAGAATCAACGAAAATATTAAGTTATTTTATTTTTTTTGAGGGACAAATTTTATTCGAGAGTTTGTCAAGTTTTATTGGATCAATTTTGTATTAAATTATTTTGATTCTACGTATGTGTGGTTAGGACTAAAAGCGATTACAAGGAGACAGAAGGAACCGTTTTCTATCTTCTAACACTCTCACCGAATGTGTCAAAGAAGAAGTGCAAAGTGACTTAGTTTGTTGTGAGAACTGATTTGACCAAACAAATGACAAAAATTCTAATTAAATAAATAACAGTACTGTGTTGGATTTAAAAATTTTTGTTGCAAAAATAAGCAGAAAAAAGTCGGTTATTACAGAAATTAATGACCGATTTTTATTTGGCTTATAAGAAAAGGAAAAAAAAAATAAATAATTATAAGAATACTGACAAGACAAACAACGAAAATGATAAAAATAAATTTTGGAACATTTTCTTTTCTTTTCTCTTCTTTTCTCAAGAGATTGAAATAGTTAAACCTCACAAATATGGTTCCAGAATGTAAAGATTGCTTTAGAAAATTTATATAGAAAAAGTAATAATAAAAATAAAAAAGTAATATAAAATAATAACATTTTGTGATTGAGGATTGAATTTGATTTTAGTAATTTGGAGATCATCTGTAATTGAATATTTAAGTTTAGTTTCTCAAATATTGTTAGGGTTTATCTCAAGAGACAAATATATTTAACCTTCTTACGTGTTGTTACTTAGTTCAGTTAGCATTAAATGGTAATCAATAGAATTTCACTTTTTAAGAGTATGATCCTTGCTAATGACGGGAGTGGAGATTTCAAATGTAATAATTTAATAAATATTTGATGATTAATTATATCTTTTAAAAACTACACTTACCTGCTCAAATAAGGTCCTCAGAAAATTCAATCAGTTGCAAATCCCCTTTTTGTTGCCACATAAAAATAATCTCTTCATTTCTTTCAGCTGATAAATAAAGTTTCTTTATATCTACAAAATTTCACTTGAAATATATGCCGCAAAAGATACAGGTCTAGATCCTTCTTTTCTCTTCTTTTTTTTTTCTGATAAGCAAAAACAACAAATTCATTACCAAGAACATTCTCAGTCAGACAACCAAAGGCAGATCAGTACTCATTCCATCTCCTCAATCAAAACCTTGCCCTTGTTTTTGGCTCCATCGCCTATTTCCTTAAAACCTTTGCCAACTCCATAATTCATCACCAAACTTTTCTCTGCTTCAACAACAGCTGCTAATGTAGACCATGTTCCTGCTGGCTGCTCATGCACCCAACACATTGTAAAATAAATTTTCCTCTCTGCAAGCTTGAGCTTACTTTTCATTTCTGTCCCTCTTGACCTTCTTGGCTTCTCTGACTTCAATTCCCCTGCCGCTGCCTGAACCAGCCTCTCCAGATCACATAGCAAGCAGATTAAAGCAGAGCCTCCTAGATAAACGAGGTTCACGACATCATCAAACAGAAGCAACCCAAGTTGTACACCACCGATATGCCTGTAAGCTGGAGAGCAAGTTTGCTCCAAGCAGTAAGACAGAGCTTCCAACACTGATTCCGGCTGCGCGCCTTGAACCAAAACAGAGGAAACACTGAGCACCACCATTGCTGATCCTGTAGGATCTGACTGCCAATCACCATTGTAGAGGCGAAGTGTGAAACAGTAGCTATATATAATATCCAACAAATGAAATGCTAAGAAAGGAGACGGCTTTGCAGTACAAAGCTTGCTAACTGGGGGCAGTGGGGTTTTAGGTCCGGGAGGAATTCCACTTGACAGGTTACTTTCTTGATCATCTTTTGGTGGTACTGGCGTTTCCTGCTCAGCAAGAGATTGAACAAGTTGTGTTCCTTCCTTGCTGAGGACAATTACTCCAGCAGAGGGCTTCAACCACCAAGGTTCCCATGGTTCAATCATTCTACTCAGTTCTCCAGATGCCAAGGCTCTTTGGAAACTTTTCCTCTCTTCTGCAGATAAATCATCAAAACTAACTTCACCTCCTGCATAAAGGAGAGATAACACAACTCATATCAGTTTTGAGGTATGAGTATAGTCAAAGAGCACCTCCCCCTTCCAGATGACAAAACAATTCATTTCCCACATTGACTTTATAGGCAAAACTCTGTTTAGTTGGAAATGCATAAGGTGAACTGCAGAGGAAAAAGTTAAAAAGCATGGAAACAGAAAGAATCGGCAGAAATCATACCGGATAAAACCTTTTGAATGATCTCCTCTGAGAGAGTTGAATCTACCAACAAACAAGAAAAGAAATTAGTAATGGGAAGATGCAATAAAATCTGCAAGTTGATCAACATATGAGTCATTGCTATCACCAGAACAAAGCAGAGCCTCAACAATTCCAAATATAGTTTCCATACACTATCCAAGCAAGATCAGAGCAAGATAAAAAGAACTAAACCAAAAGGTTCAAAAGCAAAACCACAAATGTTCATAAAGATACCTTGTAATATTCCTGGTCACACCCTGCTGGGGAAAAGAGAAAATTTGCAAAAGTACATTGATACTTTAGTGTCTTTGTTCCTACTATTTGGAATCCTCAAGAAAATGCAATTGCAAAAGTACACGATACTTTAGTGTCCTTGTTCCTACTAGTTGGAATCCTCAAGAAAATGCAATGGAAATTATTATAGACTATCTTTCCGTTATAATATCTAAAGCTATATAATTACCCAATGGATGTATTAGATCTGTACAAGTATCTTAAGGCAGTAGTGCATGTGGTGATATCTACCTTCTCAGCCAGTGTCTTATTTTATTTGATTATGAACACAGACACACACATATAGAGAAAGATGACTCGCTGAATATATCAACAGAGAAACAAAAAATAGAAAAGCTATCACCAGAAAATTACAACTGCAAAACAAGATCTAGATAAACCATGAACACTGGATTGCATCCCTATCAGGCAAGCTTGATATCAACAATTTTATTGAAAAATTAATCAAGAAATCAGAAACAAACATATTCATCACTGATTTAATATCTGAATAACAAAAAGGAATTTCTTTCTTATGCTCATCAATAGACATAAATAAGTATGTTGAATCTCAAAAATTTTCCAGAAATAACTCAATTTATTACGAAAAATTCTAATAATAATAATAAAAGAGTTAGAAAACCTACCATCCTCATCCATACTATCCATTTTCTCTTCTGAATGAAATCGTTTTAGTATGTCTAACATTTTTTGCTTTGTTTTATCATCAGGCTGAGCTTGCTGCAGCTCGTCAACTACATTTTCTCTCATGAATGACTCAGTGCATCGAAGACTATGGGACTGCAACAAAAAAAAATCAACAATTTAAATATACAAGCATAAACACACAATCAATGTTGTTGATATGTTCCCAACAGTTTTCAGTCACCCAGCCCACAACACCTTAGACATAAACCCAATCATTAAACAAATAGTTACGTTTGATTCAGTTAGCATTCGTGAAAACACCCTATTCCATGAAATATTAAAATCACTAAATAACGAAGCTATTGTTACCTTCAAAACAAGGTAAAACACTTTAAAAGTTCTAAACAAAAATCAGAAAACATTCAGAATTTCAAATGAACATTCGGTTAAGAATTTCTTACTACCTTGTAGCACTGAAGAGAGCAATAACGGGAGTTGCATCTAGGACAAGTATATTGTGAAAATTGCTTCTGGCACCTGGAAACAAATGAAAGCGGGAAAAAAATGTTAAGATGACAAACTGCTAATAATACTTAAATTTTATATAAAATTTGGAAAAAAGAAAAAGAAAAATTAACCAATAGTAGTTAGAATCTTCCAGAGAACCCGCAACTAGATAGTAATTTGGGCTTCTGGACGTCGGACATTATTATTTATTCACTTGACATAAATCGAGAACGTATATGATTCTCAAACTAAAAATTAATTAACAACGATGCAGGTTACAAGTCCATTAGCTACTAAACCATACAAAGTCCATTAGCTACTAAAGTGAAGCAGAAATCGGAAATTAAAGTAACACTAGGCGAGGAAATCAGCAAGAAAGATTGGAGAAATCCAGAAATGATAATAATAATAAAAACAATCTGAAGATTAAGATACGGAGAAGAAAGTACACGTGGCATATTATCCGGCAAGGAGGATTGAACGTCGAGGGATTAGGAGGCTTCTCAGATGT